TTGTTTAGTAGAGCAATATTTTTCTAAATTAGAAATGTGTTACTATGCATATATTAGCTATGAGATTTGTTGCCCCCTTTTAATGAATTTAATGGGTGTTTTTTAGAAGCCTTATACTGACATGAAGCAAGCTGATATTTGTCAGCATTTGGAATTGATGAGTCATTCAGTATTTTGGGGTAATGAGTTTTATTTACCATTTGCTAGTGTGATCATTCTGTGTTGCCATGAAAAGTACTTGTAGCATATTTTGGAACCAAAAATGTATTTCCGAGATACACTRTATCAACTCAAAACTTTTTCATAGGTATAGTGTTTTGGTGTCATTCAGGTAAGTTTAATACAGTTTGTAATTCTGTCACTGCAAATGTGCCTCATTTCATGTTGTTGCTGTCTTCTTCTGGCAGTTGGTAAATATTTTTATTCAGTTCTTTCTGTGACTTACCTAGTCCTTATCCCTACAAATGGAAATACAAAGCTCAAAAGGTATTGACTGTTCTTGTTACTGCAGTTCAGCATTGTAGATATTAAGGTGAAGCTAAACGCCTGTAAAGTGTTTCAGGACTTAAAATCTTGGTGTCTCTATTGTTATTGTTTAAAAGTTAATTAGCAATTGTTTCGATGTTTTTAGGTAAATTTCTGTTTATATCACTACCAAAGTAGAATTATAGATTGTTTTGGATTGGAAGGAAAATCTTAAAGATCATTCAGCTTCAACTCCCTGCCATGGACAGGGATGCCCTCCAATAGACCAGGTTGCTTAYAGCCCCATCCAGCCTGGCCTTGAACACTGTCAGGGATGCAGCATCCACAACTTCCCTGAGTATCCTGCTCCACTGCCTCACCACCCTCGCAATAAAGAATTTCYTTCTAATATCTCATCTAAACCTGCCCTCTTTGCATGTAAATGCAATTTATCTTCCCTCTTTCAGTTTAAGTAAAAAAAGAAGAATCTTCATGTACAGGCTGTATAGCATACACTGTTCCAAATTCAGAAAACTAATTATGAAATTCATAATGTTGACCTGAATTTAAGAAAATCTAGAAATAGAAATGTTCAGATATGTTTGCAATTATTTTTTTTTTCTTTTCTAACATTGTATAATAATTACGATGCTCTTAGTGTTCTTCATTCTACTGATTGAAAGTTTTAGTAAACAAAAGTAAAGTTAAAAAAATAGCTAGCCAAAAATGTCTTAAAGTATTGATCTGTAGTTTCTCGTGATGTATGAAAACCACAATTTAATCTCAGTATTGGTGCATAAACTCAGTTTCACAGCTAACTTCTGGATTGAGCAAATGTGGGTTGGAAAAGTGGATGATTATGAATCAGAAAAGACAACTCTCTTCAAGTGGCTTCAAGTGGCTTCACCRTGTTATGTCCAAGACTGTCAGAATGTATTGAAATGTTGCAGTTAGGCAAACAACAACCAACCTCATAAGATGTCCAAACTGCCTTAGAAAAACTATATTGAATTGTCAAAGGTTTCTTTTTCAAATATATTTCGCAAGTTCTGGGTGATTTTAGTGATACTTATTTCAATGGTGCTTTTATCTACAAGTAGAGTTAACTATTACTAAGTGGAGTTATATATACAAAAAATAAAATTTTGCTTAAGCTTTTTAGTTTAGAAGAATCTGTTTCTTTATTACTGTATCTAACAGAGTTCTCTCAATTGCTCTCAATTGTCAAAGTAATATTCTTGTATTATGTCTGCTAATACTTGTCTAGCATCTTAATTTTATAAAAACGCTAATAAACTGTCACTAAATTAAAATTGTGTTACTTTTTTTTTTTTTTTTTTTTCTTTTTCTGGAGAAAATCCATTGCTTTTGCCAAACAAGAGAAACATCACATAATTTGATTTGACATATTAACCATGCTGAGCACCGGAACTGTGTAACGTTCTGTAACTGTTGGATAAAAAAAAAATGTAACTTCTGTAAAGGTGTGACTAATCTGAATAAACTTGGAAGGATAGGACCCACATTTTAGACACAACATGGATTTCTGAAGTTGCTGTTTGCAAAAAACTGTTACTGTCTTTTTGACATTGTTTGCCTGTTCCAAGTGTTCCTGATTTTAACCCAGCACAATAACTGAGTAGGAAAGGTATTATCATCTTGGCAGGAAAAAGGTTACTCTATTAGGACCACACAGTGAAAATTTCAGATYATCTAAAGCAATCAGATTTCCATAGAAATGGCTGTGGGAGTATTAGATTGCTACTTTGAAGGGGAAGCAGTAGAGTGTGTGTGGCTTCTACGTCTGGATTTGTAACCCTTAAGAAGGAAACTATAAGGTAGTTGCAGTGATAGTAATTGCCAAAGGAAATTAATAAGTGAATATGTAAGGCAAATTTTCTTCTTTCTCTATAATTTTCAGTTTCCAAAAGCTGGGCACAACCTGGTGGAAATTAATAGAAGTCTTTTCACAGTGGACCATTGTGCATCTTGTAATAGTGGCTGCTGATATGCATCTGCTGGGATTTTCTTTTGTCATTTGCTGCCACATTCTCTCTCCCCACAATCAAAGCCTATTTCTTGCCTAGTTCCTAATTTTGCTGGGAGATGAATTRTGACAACAGGGCTCTTGTCAGTAGATCCTTTCAGCCCAGGTATAGGCTTGCAGTGTGTTGATGTGGTTCAGCAGATCTATTCAGAGGCACAGAGCTCATCTAGATAAAAGCCTGGAAGTGCCTGCTTTCCATTTCCAGTTCTGTATAACTGGGATTATTAACATTGTGCTTCAGCCCAGGAAAGCCACTGCTCTGATGAATCCTCTCAGTTCCATATGCTTCCTATGTGTATGTTCTTCCATGGTCTTTGAAGCAGCATTCTTTTTTTTCCAAGATGCTTCATTTGCTTTGCAGCAGCTTTGAGTGAGATGGGTAGGAGTTGTGTTTCATCACTTTAACGTTGCCAAAAGGACAATATATGCAGTGAGGTCTCCTGGTGTGGCATGGAGGCTGCATGACCATGGTGGCATTGAGTGAAGGGAGGGGCCATTYGGCTCCACTTGGGGTTAGTTTGACTGTCGGTGACTAGCAGCAGGACCAATAGTGTTTGATGGTATCAGTAGTAGCTACTTAATAATATACATGTCTGTCTTAATTTAACTGTGACATAATTAGCAATAAATCTAAAAGGCAGAAAAAAAACTTAGTTCTGGATGTGAGAAAAAAATTGCATCCACATTTCCATACCAGTGACTCCAGAAATCATTTTTGATTTTTTTGTGTGTTGCTAAAAGCTGTGTACATGCTCTGTAAGCTRTCGAAACATCCAGCTGCTGCTTCCAGGCATATGCACTGGAATTTTGCTTGGTCGTGGGCGAGTCATTTAAGTTTTGCACTGCTGTTAATCTGCTTTAGTGATCCTTGGGATTGAAATTATCTTTTGCTAAGTGCATGCACTCTGCCTTGTAAAAGGTGTTGAGTGTCATCCAATTAGATTGCTGGATGACAGCTAAAAATCTATATATTATYGGGAAGCATCTGCTTGGAGAATAACATAGCTTTGTAGTCTGGTTCAGTGGAATTGATGGAGTATGTTGAATGCAATGAAAACACTCCTCCTCATCCTCTGTGCCTGATTTTTTTTTTTTTTTAATGTAGCACATTTTGATCATGGTATCAGTGAGCATTCCACTGTTACCATTGCTGTCTTGGACTTCATAAGGGTGTCAGAGAGAGTCTCAGGTTCTCATAAAAACTTTGTCCTGGTAAGAGATGTGGTGATTCTGTGGTCTTTTGAATTGTAATGTTAGGTTTGTATTTCARTGGGTGTATTCTATATGGTTTTCATTACAGCCATGTGGGAAGTTTTTTATGCTCAGCTAACAATGTACCTTATCTATTGTTGTTACAGAAGAACCGCAAGAACTGTATTCATTCACATTTGGCTTAGGTACATGTTAGCTTTGCCCAGACCTGTAAACCTGCCAAAGCCCAAATGATGAGTATTGGTAAAGATTGGACTGGTGAGGAGAAAAAAAGCTGATTTTGCAGAAAACCCAGAGTTTTGCCTGTAGTCAGTATAATAGATTATTGTGATGTGTTTWATTGTGCTTTATTTCTGATACATTGACAGTTTTTAGTTTCTCTGATTTTCATCAGTAAAGTCAATTTAATTGGATATTCTTCCTGTCCCTAAAAGACACATGGGGAAATTTTGCTACCTTTCCTTGGTGAGTGGCATGATGGCTTGGCTGCCATTTGTGTCCGGCTGCATGTGTGTTTCCAGTCCCAAATGACCAGGGACTGCTTTGGGTGGTCGCTGCTGGGAATGGGTTTCAGGGAGGGGTTCCCTGGRCTGGATTTACACTAAATAAACAGAGGCCATGAGGGGAAAACTGTGTTTCCTTAAGAGCTCTGGTTTAGGTTAAAGGGATAAAAATAACTTCAGAACATCTCAAATTAGTTTAAAAACTAGAAAACTGAAGGAACCCAATCTAGAGTATTTTTTAAATTGCTCTTATCTTATTTAGAGTTCTCTACCTCATTCTCTTCTGTTCAGTGTAACTAGGTGCATAATCCAAAGAGATAGCCAAAAAGATTCAGCTGTCAAAGTTTCAGATTCTGTATACACAGACTCTTTTTAGGCACTGCTGTCAGTACTCATGTGTTTGTCTTCTTTGTTCTGCCAAAACATGTTCCTGAAAGCTTTCATTTTCTATTCTGGTTTTCTGGTTTTTCTTGCAAGATGCAAGAAATGGAAGTGAAGTACCAGAAAATCTCCTACGTATCAGAGAGAAAATTACCGCATCTTTCATTACAATTGCTTTAGTTATTCATAAAAATGTTCCATGTTAGACTAGTGTACATGTGTATTGTATGCTTTGTGTAAAGAAAGCATAATTCTTTGCCTTCTACACAAAATGCTCTTACCAGAATATTTCAGACCCGCATTTTTTGGTCTTGCACATTGGCAGAGTTACAGTGACTCCACTTTCTGCAAATACTCTGTTAAAAAGATATGTTTTATGTTTAACTTTGCAGATCCAGAATGCTAATGATGTGCTAATAGCACCACTGGAGAAGTTTCGAAAAGAGCAAATAGGAGCAGCAAAAGTAAGTGGCTGGGCTTGTTTTTCATTTCATGTTTMTTTGAGTTTATCAGTGTGTTTTGAAGGCTGGACTGAAAACAGGCATTTTATATTCAAACAGACAAGAGGCCATCCTCATTAGCATGTTAGTAAATGATACTAAATGCTTTGTRTCAGAGGAGGAGATTGTTTAGAAATGGAGCTTAAAGGCTGATAATATGCATAGGGCACAGCTTTTGCTACTGTTGAACATTCCTACCATCTGGCATTGTGTTCATCTTCTGATGTYTGCATTGACAGTATGCTGCGTCTTGGGTTAGCCCAGAACCACAGAGAGGATTCAAACAGCTGCTATGAGTCCCTCAAGCAGACATTACATAAAGATAGAAATCAGTTTAAGCATAATCTCTGCCTCTGCTTTCCCTGTCCTCTTTACATGATGATGCAGTGCAATGGTTCATGTTAATTTTGCCAGAGTATTCATCTTTATATTCTCCAGAGATTTTCCTATGGTGGAAGTACTCCACTTGGTAATTTTATCTGTTTCTTTGGTGCTAAGTGTTGTATTTGTGTGAGAGAAAGAATGTAGAGTGTCTGTACCAGGGTTCATTAGTCAGCTCAGGAAATCAGATATATTGGGGAAAAATATGTAGGAATTAAGTGTTAGTCTAGAAGAGCTGTTTTTCAGTCTGATTCTGAATTCTTAGGTGGCTATCAGTGGCTGCTTTGATCACAGTCTCTGAGACAGGCACAGAGGCTGTGGTAGTCWGTTAGAGGTATGTTAGTAACAGTTCTTTCTGTCTGCATAAATATGCTAATATTTCTGAAACATTTTGCACATCTTGCATTAATGCTTATAAAAATTTCTGGGAAACCTTCTGTCTGTAATGTTAAATGAGTGCAAAAAAAGCCTCTCTGATGTTGCAGATGAGGTTGCACTTGTGCTGTACTCAAAGAAACTCAAAAGAATTTCTCTACTGGAAAGAGAACCAAAGGTTTATACTTGTTGTACTGCTATTATGAATGTGTGGCAAACATGTGGGATTGCTTCTGCACAGGAACTAAGTAGATGTTTGTGAAGAATTTTTACTGTGAACTTGAGGTCAGATTTCTCTGAAATGGGTGTTCTTTACCCTTTCACTTGATACGATATGTTTTCATGTACGGCTACATTCTTCTCTTGTCCCACCCCTATGCTGCTGTGAGATGCAGGGCTGAGAGTTTATTTACTGTGCTGCACAAATCAGAATTTGATTCCAGCACAAAATTATCTTTAGTAGTGCCATTCAGTATTTTTGTAGTACTGTTTCATTTCATATTCTCATAGCTAAAGGAATTTCATTCTTCTCTTCAGAGCACCCTACTTGAAAGCTCAACCCACTATACTATTGAATGTKTTGCTGCATGACAGAGACAATCCATAGATGATTCACAGGGCTCTCTGCAGAACTCTATAAGACACTGAGGTTTTCCTTCAATATATTATCTGGTACATGTCAACACATACCAAATGATCTAATTGAAGGTGACTCTGTTGTTTTTTGTATCATCAAGAACATAGAAGGCAGGGCACCACAGGACAGGCTGAGTCCTCTCTGGTATATCACAATGGCCATTTTCTCTTCCATATCCTTTCCGTATAAAATATGGGCATTTTGTCCTCTTACAGTTGTTGTTTTGACTTGTTTGTAGTCACACTACAATGTACAGAATGAGTTCAGGAGGGAACCTGGCTCAGMTAACTCTTATTCCAGTGTCTAATGCTCTTTGTCGTACAGTCCTGTGTGTTTTGGAAAGTCCAGGATACTTGGCTTGACACATGGAGACCCTGTAGAGAGCTCTCTCAGGTCATGGTTTTATAAAATGTCAAACAAACTCCAATCTTCTAGCACATAGAGTTCAACTGCCAAACTCAGAAATGAGAGATTCAGAACTCCGTCATAACCGAGTGTGGTGCATTCGCCTGTGAATTTATTTTTATCAGTGGAAGCAATTGCAGTTGGCCTTTAACTAAATGGTATCAACACAAACAAATCAGGGCTTAATTACATTCAGTATTCTTTTTCTAGTAATTACAAAATAGCAACATATGATCTGGGAATAATGAGACCTGGATGAAATAGAGTAGAAATTTGGACTTAGTGAAACTCATTATTGGTTAAATGGAGAACATGGCCAGATTGCTTAGCTCCACTTTGGTTCACTGGGATCAGCCCTTGAGCATTTAGGAACTCTTATAAATATTAAATGAGTTGAGCTTGCTGGTTATTTATCTGCAATTAATGAAGGTTTGCATAGAGATTTGGCTCTTTGAACTCCTCTGGGATGATCTGTGCTGATAGTCAAACAAAAGATACAGATATTTTCTTGTTGAGTAGCAAGTTTCACAGAACACTGGGAATGTCACCTTTTTTTGGTAGTGTTTTCTAGACACATCAGCTGAGTGGRCCTTACCAGATGTGTTTTTTTTCCCTGTGGCGTTAATCTACAGTAGTGTGTAAAATTGTATTCATACCAAATCCAAACTTGCTTCTGTTTCTCTGTCATCCCTCTCCCACCCAGAACCCCAAAACATTTCTGTGTACATGTTGCTCTCTGAAGAGAAGCTGGAGATGTMCCAGCTGACTGGAAGCTGGCAAGCTGTCTCAGTTTTCAAGAAGGGCAAGAAGGAGTACCCTGGAAACTACAGGCCTGTTATTTTGACTTCAGTGCCTGGTAAAGTTATTCTGGGTGGTACTGAAAAACACCTGAAAGACAATGCAGTCATTGGGGACAGCCAGCATGGGTTCATGAAGGGAAAGTCCCRCTTGTCAAACCTGATTTCCTTTTATGACAAGCTAACCTACCCAGTTGATGGAGGGAAGCCAGTTGATACAATCTTTCCATACTGCCACAGGATCCTTCTGGACAAAATGCCCAGCATTCAGCTGAATAAACGCATCAGCTGTGGATGAGGGTTGGCTCACAGGGCACAAAGGATTACAGTGAATGGGTGACATCAGATTGGCAACCTGTCACTGTTGGGGTTCCACAGGGCTCCATTCTTGGTTCTGTGCTTTATAGCATCTTCACTGATGACTTGAAAACAGGTCTGGAAGGAATCCTAAGCAAGTCTGCMGATGATACAAAATTGGAAGGAGCTGTTAACTCCCTCAAAGACAGGGAGGCCCTGTAGAGAGGCTTTGACAAATTAGTGGACTGTGTAGTCACCAATCATATGAAGTTCAACAAGGGAAATTGCCAGATTCTGCACCTGGGTAGGGACAGCTCTGGATGTATGGACAGGCGTGGGAGTGAGATGCTGGAKATGGCACTGCAGAAGGGGACCAGGGGGCCCTGTTCAATGAAGTTGAACATGAGCCAGCAGTGCCCTGGCAGCCAGGAGGGCCAAGCGTGTCCTGGAGGGCATCAGGCACAACACTGACAGCCGGACAAGGGATGGGATTGTCCCGCTCTGCTCTGACCTGGGGCAGCCTCACCTCCAGTGCTGGGGGCAGTTTTGGGTCCCACAATATAAGAAAGGCATTAAACTACTGGAGAGTGTCCAAAGGAGGGCTCTGAAGGTGGCAAAGGGGTTGGAGGGGAAGTCATTTGAGGAGACACTGAGATCACTTGGATTATTCAGCCTGAAGGAGACTAAGCAGAGATCTCATCATGGTCTACGGCTTCCTCGTGAGGGGAAGCAGAGAAGCAGACACTGATCTGTTCTCTGTGGTGACCAGTGACAGGACCTGAGGGAATGGTCTGAACCTCATTCAAGGGAGATTGAGGCTAGATATTTAAAAAAGGTTTCACCAGAAGGTGGTTGGGCACTGGACCAGGCTCCCAGGGTACTGGTCACAGCRCCAGCCTGACAGAGTCAAGAAATGTTTGGACAGTATTCTCAGGCACATGGTGTGACTCTTGGGGATGCTCCTGTGCAGGCCCAGGAGTTGGACTTGATGATCCTTGTGGGTTCCTTCCARYTCAKCTTATTCTGTGATTTTGTGATTCTGTGGATGGTGTAAACTCCACAAGATAGATAAYAGTTAGGTCATGTTATGTATTTCTAGAGCTGTCACTTTACAATTGATTTGCATTATAGCATTTTATGGACAAACRTTTAAAGAGATTAGGTATAGAAGCCCAAGATTAGTATGGCTTCAGCATTGGCAGTGTTAGCAGTAGCTAGAGATGCAAGTAGCTTTTGGGTGTTGGACTCTGTCTTCTAATCAGACTYTGAAATTATAGATTTTAGTACCCTGTTACGCTGTGTTTCCAAATTTGTGGAAGAAGAATATTAGGTAATTTGTTAACAATATGCATAACAGAAAATTATATTAAGTACTACTGTCAGATTTTACTGGGGGAGAGATAATGTGAGAGAGCACTTGAAAAGTGCTTTCTGGGCTTTTTTTCTTTCCTTTATGAAACACGAGATAAAATTCAGTGTCAGATGAACACAAGTAAGCTGCACCCCACCCAAGGGAAAAAGGGAGAAAATGTTATAAAGTATGAGAATCACCATTTTATTTTAATAATAAGTAACTTCACAAGATTCTTGCTACCATGATGAATATCCTRTAGTTGTTTTTAATACAGAGAATGAGAATATTTCATTTTTTCTTCAAAACTATAATGAGTTTGGGCAAAAAATATGGTCACAGAAATCAAAGAGAATATGGAGGATAAAATATGTCCTGTTGATATTACAAAGCTATATTTTAAATACAAGGACAGTATAAACTGAGAGTGCAAAGTTCAAGTGTTTTTGGAACATCAGTTGAATAACATTAAAGACCGATTCTTCACATGCACTTCAAAAACCTGAAGGTACCCAACGAATTTGAGAAACATTCCCCATAAAACGTTAGTGTTTGTAATCTAACCAGCAATACACAAATCTCCATCACTTACTCTTCTTGATTTATACTACTCGTTCTTCTGTTTTTATTGCACATATTTCAGTTATTCCTTTTCTGTACACACTCAGTTTAAATAAAGCTGAGTTCTCTCCAGAGACTACACAAACCCAGCTTTGCATTG